AGAAGTGGAAGATCATGTACCTTCCCTGTTGGACCTTCTGTTGACCTCTCATCCGGACGGATATCAGGTCTCTGTTGATACCCTCACGCTCCCATCACGGTTGCATACTGCAGGTTACCGCCGTGTTTGTCATTATAGGTCAGCCGATTGGGACGGGATGCGATCTTTTTTGCATGATCCCAGCGTTGTTGCTGATTCTGTCGCTGATGTGGTGCTACGGGGAATGGAACCATTTATTCCATCATCTGTGGTGCCTATCGGAGGCAGAACCCAGCCTTGGTTTAGTCGCTCCTGCAATATTGCATTACATCATAAGCAGAAGTTTTACCAAGTCTGGGCTCGCTCATCGACGTCTCGGGATGTAAACACCAGCGTTATTAAAAAGTAGTATAATTCTGCTTCCAGGTCCTTCAAAAGTATCATTGTTAAGGCAAAGTCAGAGTACATCGGCAGAATTGGCGAGAAACTTGTTCGTCTTCCTTCGGGAGCACGTGCATTCTGGTCTCTTGCCAAGGCTGTCCAAGTAAACTTCTGCAAGCTATCTCTTCCATCTCTGCACAGGGAATGTGACTCACTGGCCCATGATGCAAAGGACAAAGCCGAACTACTGGGCTCTCTCTTTGCGTCCAACTCGACTCTTTATGACGGGGGGAACAGACCGCCGGCCATCCCGCAGTGTGAGTGCTCCTTAAAGGATGTAGCCAACGCTGTGTGCGCAGAGAACACTTCTCCCTGGATATCAACAAGTCGAGTGGGCCTGATGGCGTCTCTCCTATTGTGCTGAATACGTGTGCTCCGGAGTTGGTACAGGTCCTAACGCGTCGTTTCCGGTACTACTATTCCCTAGGCGTAGTTCCGAAATCATGGAAGACAGCCTTCGTGAACCCGATCCCTATAAAAGGTAATCGCTCTGATCCGTTCAACTATAGCCCTATCGCCATCACCTCCTTGTTCTCTAAAATAATGGAATTAACAGCCAGCTCATGCGGTACCGTGAGGATCACCAACTGATTAGTGACCGCCAGTACGGTTTCCGTCACGGTCGCTCGGCTGGTGATCTCTAGGTTACCTCATTTATAAATGGGCGAAGGCCGTAGAGTCCAAGGAGGAGGCGTTAGTCGTTAGTTTGGACATAGCGAAAGCCTTCGATCGGGTTTGGCACAAAGCGCTTCTTACAAAGCTTCCTTCCTATGGGATTCTCGAGAAATTGTGCAATTGGATCACCAGTTTTCTTGCTGATCGGAGCATCAAGGTCATAGTAGACGGTGCATGCTCCGATTACAATCCATTAACGCTGGTGTTCCACAAAACTGCGTGCTATTACCAACGCTGTTTCTTCTGCATATCAATGACATGTTGCAAATCGGTAGCATTAATTGCTATGCAGATGACAGCACTGGTGATGCTTTATACACCGGCCGTGCTAATATTTCTCGAGCAAACGTTGCGAGTACCTGAACAAACTGGTGTCTGAAGTCGAGACTTTGTTGAACAAAATCTCGGACTGGGGGCGACTAAATCTAGTTCAGTTTAATCCCCAGAAGACGTAAGTTTGCGCGTTTACCGCTAAAAAGAATCCCTTCATCGTATCTTCTCAGTTTCAAGGCACTCCCCTTGTTGCCTTAGCCAGTATTGGAACTCTCGGCGTCGACATATCAAATGACGTGCAGTATCGTGGTCACTTGGAAGAGAAGGCCAAATTGACCTCTAAAAAGGCTTGGCGTGCTCATCAGAGCGAGACAGTATTTCATGCCAGTTCACCGCCTGCAACTTTACAAGGCGCAGGTTCGGCCGCACATGGAATACTGTTCCCATCTCTGGGCCGGGGCTCCCCAGTGCCAGCTCCTTCCATTTAAATCGCTTCCAGCGCAGAGCACTGCTCTTTCCGATCGGCTTGACTCACTACCACTGCGAAGCGTAGTTGCATCTCTTTGCGTATTTTATCGCATCTACCACGGGGAGTGCTCTGAGGAATTGTTCGGACTAATTCCAGCCGCACAGTTTCACCATCGCACATAGCTACAAAACTCACGATACCATATATACCATCTGGATGACTTGCGGTCCACCACTAAGCGATTTAAAAGAAGTTTTCAAGTTAACTTCCTTGTGTAATCAACTACCACCAGAGATTTTTCCGGACCGATACGACTTAGAGACCTTCAAGAAAAGAGCCTACCCCTTTTTAAAAGGCCGGCAACGCATCTGCAATCCCCCTGGTGTTGCAGCTGTTCATGGGCGGCGGTAATCACTTACCACCAGAAGAGCCGTATGTTCGTTTGCCCCCTCTCTTATTAAAAAAAAATGAACTGGTTAATATGGTCACTTTCTATTAACTCGAAAACTACATCCTTATTTGCATAGGAGGCTATATAATGTTCTTCATCAGTCAATCAAATAATAAAGGGTCGAAGGGACGCTGTTTTATCGACGCTATTTTAACAGTTGATATCATAGATAATATTTTAGTCGATTTAAATATGACGTAATGCAGTTAGTTTTTATTAAGTTGTTTTTTCAGTTTCCCTAACTATTGCCAAAGCTTGTTTGCTTTTTTTTACTAACATATTAGGTATAGTATACTTTGTGTTTTTGTATCTATCCTCCTCCTAGTTTTTTTTATAGAGCGGCAAAGCCACCATATTACCATATGATCATATTACTCTCATGTACCTTACACATATATATTTATTTGCACTTTTCACAACGAAATCAAGCAAAATACACTTGCCAAAATAAAATCAAAGAAAGCACTCACCTGACAGCACAGAATAAAATAATAGCTGACAACGAAATGTCTTAGTTACTTTATTCACCTAAACAGATAAGTTGGTGGCACTATACTTAGCTACGCGAAAAAACTTATTACAATATAATAAATCACTACAATTTTCAATATTTTTTTGTAGTGGCGGTAGCCGTGTAAGAATATCCACTACCTTATATCGTCCCGTAGTGAATCTGAAACAGGAGATACACAGCAGCATCTGCCTGATAGCAACTCAAAATAATAAAAACTGTGGTTGCCAACAAGCTTGCCAAGCGTTTCGACTGAGGGGAAATCCCCCTATGAGGCAATCTGTGGGGGAGGCCTATGTTTAATAGTAGACTCTTAGAGCTGCAATAATGATGACGATGAAATAGTAGTTACTGATAACAGATGAATTATTATTTCAAAGTTAGATAGACAAGACAGTCAAGATATCTGTGGCAAGAAGTTCATAAATTAGATTTTAAGGTTTTAAAAACATATTAGAGAAATTACTTCATATTAAATTTACTTAAAATAGTCATAGCATTTCACTTATTTTTGTAAATGCCTTACTTAAGATGATAAATTGGATGTTAGTTAAAGGAAATAGTGATGAGTTTTATCATAGTTTGATTTTTATATGATGTCTGTGGATTTTAGCCATTAAATTTTATGTATTATGGCGACGATATAGGTAATTTATTCTGGTTTCTGTATACGCATGTTTTGTTGTGTTAAATGTGTGCTCATAATCATATTTTCGCTTAGTCTTTGGCAAACTGGCAATGGCAAATTAAAAATTTATTTCAATTTTCAATTGTCAAAAAAAATTTAAACTTATGTGATCTATGCCCATGAATGATTCGTAATGATTCATAGCAATGAGCTATGTCAGTCTGTCAGTCAGTAAATTGTCAATCAAATCAATATTGACTTATTGTCAGACATCTTTCCTAGCTGGTCTATCTAATCTTGAAATAATAATTCATCTGTTATCAGTAACTTCAATTTCATCATCATCATTATTGCAGTAATAGTCTACTATTAAACTTAGACCTCCCCCAAAGAAAACCACAACACTGAGACATCTGCATGCATCGACATCCTGCATGTTTTATTAGGTCGTCAGTGCATCTAATAGGGATTAAACCTACTCTTTGCTTACCAGTGCCATGTTATCACTCGGAGAACGTTCTTCCCTGTTGGTTATTTCTTCGAGCTATATGGCGAACCCACTGCGACGTCAGATTTTTGACCCGTTTAGCTATATCGATACTCCGATTCTGCTGTGAATGTTCTCGTTACGAAGTCTATCACGCAGAAAAATACCGAGCATAAATAATAATACATAGCTTGATCCAGATTACAGATTTATAAAGCCGTACCAACCTCAGCACTTTTTGATCTATTTCTGACCAAAAGTAATAGAAACCTTAATATTTAGACAACGAGCTTCATCATTGACGTCTTTTTTGGTATCACTATGACTAGATAGAAATAAAATTACTTTTAGTTCTATAAACCATTAGTCAGTAGTCATTATTAAAAAAAAAATTAAAATCGATATAAATATCATCATATTAAAGTAAAAATTAAATCTTAAATTTCCAAAGAAAAGGATTGTTGTTATTAATTTCCATAACTGAAATTTTTTCAATGTAAGGTTTGGATTGAAGTAAAGTTGAAAAGGTGAAACAAGGTCTAGTTGCTGAAATATGAAAAAAAAATCGGTTTTATTACATTTACTATCAATCAAATTTGTTACTTAATTTTCCAATTTTGTACTTAACAAATGCATGCATGATATTATTTTTACAATGCAATTTGTGTGTATGCATTGTTGAACAAATATGAGGATTTAAAAGAAAATATTTTTTTTAAATTACACGAATTTGGAATTTTTAATTCAGATCGTCAATCTGCTCCATTCCGTTCGACGACTTCATTCTATAATTAGGTCAAATTAAGTTCTCAGTACATAAATTTTAACATATTTAACAAGGAATATACAACTCCCGAACGAGAGCTCAGTAACAATAACAAATTTGACTCGCTCATTTGAGTGACTTCGTTGGACTGTTGTTGAGTTGATTGTGGTGACACTTGTTTGTCGTGATAGATGTTTATCGCCACATGAAATCCTATATAAAGGTCTGAGCAAGCAGATCGAGCGGTATTTGTTATTACGGTACGCGTCCAGTGAGTCGCTCCGTCAAACCGGGTGATAAGTACATCATACACTAGCAAAATGGCTTCGAGGGATCCCGCGTCTGACCAACTTGTAAACTATAGTAAGGCCAGGAAGGTTAGTCCAAATACACTCTCAACTATTCTAACATACTTTGTAAAGCAAATAATAAATATTATAATTTGAACTTTTTGATAATGATATCAACAAGGGGGTCAACAAGGGGTTGAGTTGATAGTGTTTATCAAGATAACAATGTCATTAAATTAAACCCTTTGAACTTTGATTGTACGTATGATACATATTAGGTAGGTAAACTATTTTGTTCGGCTGTGCATTGCTTTATGTTAGTTTTGTACATAAAAATATATATTTATGTGAAATTGAATATTACTGTATAATGTATTACGTTGATTTTAAATTAAACATTTTAAATAACATGTCATATTACGTCATTGCTGTTCTTTTGTCGCGGCTCTACTTTTAGCTCTCACCGCTCTTCCAGAGGTTAGCTTTTTTATATAATTAAAGTGACAAGCAATCTCACAGTCTACCTGACAGTAAGTAGCTGCTGCAGCTCCTGATCTCCTGCAGCCGACTTCCAACACAGAGAACTACTGGTGCGTTGTCACCTCTGCTAACTAAGATGGAATACCTCACTGCCTGCAATTATTGTAATTATTGCTGGTTCCCAAACCTTAACTCAACAGCGCATGTACTGTTATTTAAGCATTATTTAAGCTTATATAGGTTAGAAGCTGGTTTCCATCTGGGCAAAAAGGGACCACTTAGAAAAAGCTATGCCTTATCACATGCTATTCATGATTAAGTCTCCCTTTGCAAAAATGTATTGACTATAAGTAAGAATTTTCGATACATCTTTTTATCTATCTGGCATGAAGTTAACTATGTACAAATAATCTTGTGTTAATTAAATTTATTTAAACCATGTTAAAGAATGTTTATATATTACAATTCCGACTTCTTATATCCCTTAAAAATTATGTAGCTAAAATAAAATATAATAATAAGATATTATGTATTAAAGATATTATTAAATAGTAAACTCTTGTGGTACGTCCAATTTATTGCTATGCGAATTTTGACTGCTATTGTTTTACACTAACATTATTCATTTTGAGTTTTTAAGGGCTGATTTTTCAAATGTCTGTTATAATCATAGGATAAAGTACACATTTTCATAAGGACAGTTATTTGAATATAGGTATAAATTTCATACTACAATTGTTACACTTTTATAATCAGTCAGGTTACAATATATTAGATGTATTATTTTTATTAATAATGAATAACATGATAATTATTGAAAAATCAGACCTAAACCAAATAAAAATTATGTACTTTGATTGTATTTCAGACTTTTAGATAAAGCTATAAATAAAAAGATACTCAAAATAAATCTTCAAAATAAATTATAAAATATCAAATTGCCTTTATTTTAATTATGGATTTTTTTCAGGATTCTCCTGGTTACATTACAACAAAATCTGGATCACCAGTCGGTGTTAAATCAGCCGTCCTAACAGTTGGTAAGAATGGACCTGTCCTTCTTCAAGATGTCAACTTCCTTGATGAGATATCATCATTTACCAGGGAGCGCATTCCTGAACGTGTTGTACATGCTAAGGGAGCTGGTGCTTTTGGGTACTTTGAAGTGACCAATGATATTACAAAATATTGTGCTGCAAAAGTTTTTGAGTCCATCGGCAAGAGAACTCCTATCGCTGTCAGATTTTCAACAGTTGGAGGAGAAAGCGGCTCAGCTGATACTGTTCGTGACCCAAGAGGATTTGCTGTTAAGTTCTACACTGATGATGGTAATTGGGATATTGTTGGGAACAACACACCTATATTCTTCATCAGAGATGCAGCTCTCTTCCCAAGCTTTATTCATACTCAAAAGAGGAACCCAGCTACTCACTTAAAGGACCCTGACATGTTTTGGGACTTCTTGACCCTCAGGCCAGAGACAGCTCATCAGACAATTTACCATTTTGGTGACCGTGGAATTCCCGATGGGTACAGACACATGAATGGTTACGGATCACACACTTTCAAGTTAGTTAATGCTCAAGGGGTTGCTCACTGGGTTAAGTTCCACTACAAAACTAATCAGGGCATAAAAAACCTGCCTGCTGACAAAGCTGCTGAGCTTGAATCGTTGGACCCCGATTATTCTATTAGGGATTTGTATAATGCCATTGCCAGAGGAGAATATCCGAGCTGGACCCTCTACATTCAGGTCATGACCATGGCTAAAGCTGAGAGCTGTAAATTCAACCCATTCGATATGACTAAGATCTGGCCACACTCTGAGTACCCCTTGATTCCAGTAGGTAAGCTAGTGCTGGACAGAAACCCAAAGGATTACTTTGCTGAAGTTGAACAGCTTGCGTTCAATCCTGCAAACTTAGTGCCCGGTATCGAACCGTCTCCCGACAAGATGTTGCAGGGACGTTTGCTTGCATACGGTGACACCCACCGCCACCGCCTTGGAGCTAACTTCTTGCAAATCCCTGTGAACTGCCCATACAGAGTGACCGTTGCAAACTACCAGCGCGATGGTCCTCAGGTTATGCAACACCAAGAAGGTTGCCCCAACTATTTCCCTAACTCATTCTCTGGACCGCAAGAGTGTCCCCGTGCACGACGCCTGCAACATAGATACAACCTGAGTGGTGATGTTGATAGGTACGACAACGGACATACGGAAGACAACTTTTCACAGGCTACAGTACTGTATCAGCAAGTATTTGACTATGCTGAGAAAGAACGTTGCGTTGCAAACATTGTTGCAAGCCTAAAGAATGCTGCTGGATTCATACAGGAGAGGGCAATTAAAATGTTTACTCAGGTCCACCCAGATCTAGGAAGGAAGGTTGCGTTAGGTTTGGCTCCATACAAGAAATATCATGCTAACCTCTAAATTTCTATTCATGGCTGATTTGGGTGCTATTTTACATTTTTTTAGACTTAAGGGGTTAAGAATTACTTTACTCAGGTCCACCCAAATTTAAGAAGGAAGATTGCGTCAGGTTTAGCTGCATACAAGAAATATCATGCTAATCCGTTAATTTCTATTCATGACTTATTTGGGTGCTATTTTTTACTTATTTTTTACATATTGCTATATTGAGATAGACAGTACAGTACGTAGATTACAATTTATATGTCATTTTTAAATGTAACCTAAAATGTATATAATTGCATTGAAGTAACTGAAAATTATTATTATTATGAATTAAAATAAGATATAACTTTGTAAACTTGTTTTAATGTTTTAAATTTAAGTCAGTTATATATTGTTTTAGACTGACTAAATTAATGCTTAAAACTTTTATCAATAATAAATGATGAAGAGTTATGTATAACTTGAAAATAAATATAAATTAAAATGTTATGTTTTATTACTTGATTATAAAGAATAAAAAGTGTGTGAGCATTATCTTTATTAACAACATTATTAAAAAAATTCTTAAAACAAGATTTTAGAAGGAAAGAAAGAAACATTTATTGCAACTCGCCACAAACGTCACGAGGCACTTAAATTTTAACATTTGTAGACAAATGAAACTAGAAATAATATAAACAATAAAAAAATACCAATTTGACGGATATAACGTTTAAAAAGTTGTACACTTATAAATTACGCGTAAAAATAAAAATAACGTAAACGTTCTTCATCGCGTACGCGTATGTGGCGCGTTATGCAAACGGACCTCACTCAGCTATGAAACAACAGCGCTAGTTTTTAGTAGGCCCGAACTGACAGTAACGTGCGGACGTACGTGACTATGCTGAAATTATTAATATCGAAACTGAAGGTATGTATGTACATATTATGCATACAATTAGTAAGACGATCCTGAACATAGAATACTATAAATACATACATATCTCTTCTTTCTATCGCCGAGCTCGGAGAGGATTCGGTCATCAACAATTTGAGCCAGTGCAATGTTATAAATATAATAGTACTTAATAATTACTAAATAGTACACCTCAGCCTATATCCTTCTGAGATATTATTAAATAGTAGTATCATTAGATATTAGTGTTTGAAATAACACAGCTCCTTTTTTTCGTATATATTTCATATTTGTTCTGACATAGATAATATTTATACGTACCTATTTTGCACAAAAAAAAATATAAATAAATATATATATATATATATATATATATATATATATATATATATATATATATATATATATATATAAATATTATTCACTCTATTTGCTGCACCGCCTCCAAAATATCTATCTCTGTTTAGCTAATGGTTGACTGGGAGAGAATGCCCTATGGCATTAAGTCCGCCATATGTACTACTTTGTGCATAAAAGCATAAATAAATAAATAAACAAAAATTGGATAGTTTTATTTTTCTTTAAATGTTTAATTGTTTCAGACCACGAATTGGTGGCGGCAGGCACACTTTGATGCTGCGTACCTGAAGCTTCCACGAATAGCGACGCCACGTTGGAAAGGCACGATGAGAGGATAGCTCGACACACGAGTTATATTTACGTCGAGCGATGACACTAACTTTGGAAGAAATAAGGTAGCATATTTTATTTAATTAGACCAAAAAGTAGCGTTGCTAAAAGAAAATGTCGATGATATTTTGTTTTTAAATATTGCCTCCGTTGATTTACGACGTAACGTGAATGCGTTGCGGAATCTCAAAGCAAAATCTTTTATATGCGTTCTGCACTTACTGAACGTATTAATAGACAGTTACGCATTAATAGACAACCATAAACTACTTAGATCCACGTAATTAAATTAGGAAAGAATCAACGAGTTACAAAACCTGATTCAAATATCTGAATTCAGAAAATTTCAAATTAATACAGGACATTAAAAGGAAAGGAAAGGTTGGTTAAGCAATTTCTAACAGTATTATAAATTACGAGTTCCAGACACACGTTGAATTTGTTCCCTTTTATGGTGGCCTGAAGCCGATGATTCTGATGAGCTTTTACGCTAGTACTTTGACTTACTTCCATTTAGAACAAGTGCATTCGATTTTTGACGGCGCAGTGGCGCAGTGGCTTAGCAATGAGTTAAAGTGCTAAGGGCCGCGGGTTTGAATCCCGCACGGAACAAGAATTTGTATGGCCTACAAGTAATTGTTCCGGGTCTGGATGTTTGCCCTTGTGCAATTTATGTTTGTAAACTGCCCCCGCGATACAGGAGAAAATCCTAGTCTGGAGGTAACGTTTTCTAAATAAAAATCAAAACAAAAATCAAATCAAATTTTGACCAATCAGCTACGCCTTCTAAATCTTCGTTTAATTTGTTTATTGTGTGAGTTCCTTAGGCTTACATGATATGTAAATCTATTTGTCATCAGCTTACATATGATATCTACAATGTTTCATGTGATCTACCATATCTGCACAGTACTCAACAAACAAAAGTGGACCTAAAATTGATCCTTATGGTATGCCTTTTTTGACAACTTTGAAACCGGCTAGTGGCAACCCTTTTTGGTTAGAATTTTCTACTTTTTGAATGCGATATTTAAAATAGCTCTCAAACCATTTCACCCCAGTCACTTCGAAATCATAATTGTGCAATTTCGACAATAGCAATGCTACTCTCAAGGCAGTCAAATGCTCTAGAAAAGTTTTTTTTATATAGGAGAGGGGGCAAACGAGCATACAGTTCGCCTGATGGTGAGTGATTACCACCACCAAGGAACAACCGCAACACCAGGGGAATCGCAGATGTGTTGTCGGCCTTTTAAAGAGGAGTAGGCTCTTTTCTTGAAGGTCCCTAAGTCTTACCGGTACCGAAATTTTTCGGTACCGATAAGACTTAGGATTTCAAGAGTGGCAGTCGATTCCATAAGGAAGTTGTGTGAGGAAAAAACCGGGGTGGACCGCCAGTCATCCAGATGGCAAGAATGTATCGAGAGTCTTGTCGAGATGTGCGATGGTGAAATTGTGCGGCTGGAATTAGTCCGAACAATTCCTCAGAGCACTCCCCGTGGTAAATGCGATGAAATACGCAAAGAGATGCAACATCTATTCACAGTTCCAGTGAGTCAAGCCGACCGGAAAGAGCTCAGTCGCCGATGATTCGAACAGCTCTTTGCTGGATGCCGTTAAATGGAAGGATCTGGCACTGGGGAGCACCAGCCCAGAGATGGGAACATTGTTCCATGTACGGTCGAACTTGCACCTTGTAAACTTGCAGACGGTGTGCCGGCATGAAAAACTGTCCCGCCATGCCAAGCTTTTTAGAGGTCTATTTGGCCTTCTCTTCCAATTAAACATGAAACTGCACGTCACTCGGTATGTAGACGCCGAGGATTCCGAAACTGGCTGAGGTAACAAGGGGAGTGCCTTGAAACTGAGGAGATATGACGAAGGGGTTCTTTTGGCGGTAAACGCGCAAACTTATGTCTTCTGCGAATTGAACTGGACTATATTTAGTCGCCCCCAGTCCGAGACTTTGTTTAATAAAGTTTCGACTTCAGACAAAATTTGTCCCAGTACTCGGCGACGTCTTCCCAAAAATTGTCACTTTTCACAAATCACAATTGTCACGTCCGGTGTATAAAGCATCACCGGTGCTGTCGCCCACATAGCAATGAATGTTACCCGTTTCCAACATATTATTGATATGCAGTAGAAACAGCGTTGGAGATAGCAGGAAGCCTTATGGAACAACAGCGTTAATGGATTATAATTGGGGCATGCACCGTCTACTACGACCTTGATGCTCCGATCTGCAAGGAAACTGGTGATCCAATTGCACAATTTCTCGGGAAGCCCATAGTAAGGAAGCTTCGTAAGAAGCGCTTTGTGCCAAACCCGATCGAAGGCCTTCGCTATGTCCAAACTAATGGCACAACTTGGACTCTACTGCCTTCGCTCATTTATGAGTTAGGTAACCTAGAAGATCACCCGCCGAACGACCGCGACAGAAACCATACTGGCGGTCACTAATCATCTGGTGATCCTCATGGTACGGCATTAGCTGGCTGTTAACAATAGATCCATTATTTTAGAGAACAAGGGGGTGATGGCGATAGGCCTATAGTTTGACGGATCAGAGCGGTTACCTTTTTTAGGAATCGTTTGCACGAAAACTTTCGCCTAGGGAGTAGGAGTACTGGAAAAGACGTTATAAAACCGATGCCAACTCCGGAGCACACGTCTTCAGCACAATACGAGGGACGCTATAAGGCCCACTCGACTTGACGTCCAAGGAGAGGAGTGCTCTGCACACCAATCGTTGGGTAAACAGCACATCCTGCATGGAGCAGTGTATGATGAACGGCGGTGTGTTGCCCCCGTCATCAAGAGTCGAGTTGGACGCAAAGAGAGAGCCCAGCAGATTGGCTTTGTCCATTGCGGCATGGACCAGTGAGTCGTCCTCCCTGCGTAGAGATAGCTGACAGAAGTTCCCCTGGGTAACCTTGGCAAGAGATCGGATTACACGTGTTCCCGAAGGAAGACGAAGTAGTTTCTCGTCAATTCTGCCGAAGTGCTCTGGCTTTGCTTTGACAATGACAAATTTGAAGGACCTGGAGGCGGAATTATAATTCTTTTTAAGAGCGCTTGTATTTGCATTCCGAGACGTCGATGCATGAGCTCAGGCCTGGTAGCGCTCTTGCTTATGGTGTAAAGCAATCTTGCATATTTAGGAGCGACCAAACCATGGCTGGGTTATACCTCCGGTAGGTACCACAGATGGTAGAATAAAAAGCTCCATTCCTTGTAGTACCACATCAGTGACAGAATCAGCAACAGCGGTGGGATCATCTGGCGAGAAGCAAACCGGCCTCCAAAGGTAGGATGCAAAAAAAGATCGCATCCCGTCCCAATCAGCTGACCTATAATTCCAAACACGGCGGCAACCTGCAGAGCGCAACCGGGAAGGGAGCGTGAGTGGCAACGTACTCCAAAT